GTGCTTTACAAAAAGCTAGTTACATTGTATACATCCACTTCCCAAATTTATCGTTTTGACAATTTGGTTGAAAGTTATTCATTCACAGTCGACTACTATATAAGTCGTGCCAATCCCTGTCAGAATCTTCAGCCAGCATCTCAGGATTCCAGAGGTGGTGCAAACAACCCATGAATCTTGCGCTGTGACGGCTGTGGGGTGGAAAGCTGTGCGGTCCAAGGTGGACAGCAGATACCATTCCATCTTTGCGAGCACGCCTCCAGCCAAGACGAGCAGCGCCGCGGCTACAGCGACAGCTACAGCAGCGCCGCGGCTTGGGTGCGCCCCTGAGTTTGACCATTCGGATGGCCCGATTGACCACCTGCAGGCTTACAGTTTCCCTGATGGCTCGGTCATTCCCACCAGCCAATTTGAGTCCGAGAATGAGAGCCTAGGATGGTAAATAGAAACTATATGTTTCCCTTAAGTGTGTGCAATTACAAGACAACGATACCGAAGGTGTGTTTTTTTATTGCCGCCTGTGCTGCCCTTGTTTGCCTGTGCTGCCCTTGTTTCAGGATTCTTGCGGCTGGGCTGGCGATTGGAAACCCCCGCGTCAAAGTGTATGTGACCAAGAAGTTTGAAGTGTGGCTGTCATGCCTTGGGGACGAGGACATTGAGATGCGAGCTTGTGAGATTTTTGGATTCAACCAAGGGGCATGGCAAGAGAAGCTCACAGGACTGATTTTGGCAAAACATATGAATGAATAGTTTTTTATTATTAAAGGTTTTGCAATCAAAGAGCTTGAAGGAATACCAAGTGTTTTTTGGTGGTATTTATCAAACCCCAGCAGGTCTGGCAAGGAGCAATTCCAAAGAGCACATTGCCTGGAACATCACTGCAGACAGTGAACTCCTGGCTCTTGTGGAGGATGGAGACAAGCGGCTCTTGCCCTTGGCTGGGGCGGTGGCCCATTCTGCATCCAAGTTCGGTATCACAGAAATCACAGTTTTGGATTATGATCTTGCGCAGATGGTGAAGGACTGTGTTACCTGAATTGCAAAGCCTAAACAATTTCGAGTCTCGTCCGATGTTTTTGTGTTAAATCTGTCCATAATTGAATAGGGCAACATTGCCTGAAGCAATTTGGCCAAATCTACTTTTCTTTCCAACATAGAGATAATAGATACAACTTATCTTGCGCGACGCATCGCAATGAACGGCAGGACAATGGTGATCCACTCAACTTTCGCTACCGCGTGTCTGCGAAGTCCAAGTTGAACTGTTTCGTTCCAAAGAAGGTTGACGCAAGCCTTGACCAGTTTTCGTTGCGAGGGACCATCCTGGGAGCTGTATTCGAGAACAACTATCACATGCTCCCCAAGCTTTCCCACGCACGGCTCATTTGGGAGGCGTCCTAGCAATTCAATTTGAGACAGATTATTTCTGGGGTTGTTTCTCGAACTACTTTATTTCAATGGAACTTCAACCCTGCATGTTTTTTGGTTCTCATCAACGTGCTTCTTGGCAGGTCAGCTTGGAGCCTACAGTCCCAGCCACACTGACACCCAGGAAGCCCAAATTCTGGGCGCTGGGAAACTTTATGTTGAAAGCGGGCATGACGCATCAATTGAAGTGAGCGAGCATGCAGTGATGGGCATCCTAGCTGTTTGTGGTTGAATGATACCCTGTTGACTGAATGTTTTTAACCGTTTTTTGTGTTGAAGCAACGATGTTTCAGTGGTCAAGCAAAGCCCACAGAAGCTCTCATAGCCCAGCGTTTTGTGCAGAGCAAGCTCAGTCATTTTGTGGAGTTTGCAGCAGCTAGCTTTTTGGGCATGATATGATGTCATGTCAGATTTGCTCTGACTAAAGATGGCGCTGCCTCGAGCGCAAAGCAGCTGATTAGTTTGTAGTTTTCGTTTCAGCCACTACCAGAATGGATTTTTGATGCCATGGCCTACTATACCGATCAATTAAATCTCGAAATGTTTTCCAATCAAGGCAGATTTGGCCTCATTAGATACCAATTTTTTTCCTTGTTTGGACGCCATGCCGCTAAAGGCGGTGGATGATTTGTCAGACGATGAGCAGGCTTCAAGTGTCCCAGCCAAAGCAGACCCCAAAGCAAAACCTGCCCCCGCCCCAACCACACCAGATCCCAAAGCAAAAGCAACCCCCAGCCCAAAGGCCCCCAGCTCAAAGGCAAAAGCCAAGGTTTCGGCCAAAGCAAAGGTTTCGCCCAAAGCACCAGCCACCAAAAAGCCAGCCAAGGAACCTGAGGTCCCTGTCGAAGAGGCGACACTGCCAGAAAAACGTAAATGCGAAGCTGAAGAACGTGTAGTTGCAAAGAAACCAGCCACGCAAAAGGGAACAACGAAGAGACCAGCAGCCGCAGATGTCCCAGCACGCGCGTACAAAAGCATGTATAAGAACGGCGTATGGGGCATCAAATATCGTGGCAGTGAGTGTGTCAGGATGGGGTGTTTGAAAACATATTTGTTCAAATAAACTCATGTCTCCCTATTCAAACAATCATTTGTGAGTATGTGTTTCGCCACAGGCGTGTTCATGGCCCTGCAAGGTGAAACCAAGAGATGGTGTCAGCGCCGAGAAATTGAGGGAAATTGCAGTTTCTCAGACGCCAATGAACTAGTAGATTCAAGAAATGAACTAACTGCATTTTGAATTTCACTAGGGCCCCTCCACTCTGCACTGAGGAAGAAGCTCGGGTGGCCCTTGAGAAGGGGACTGCTGTTGAATCGGTTCGCAACATGCAGGAGACCCGTCAGTAACTCTCGTATTGTTGCAAACAGTGGTGCGTCCGAAAAGAACATGAATTCAATTTCCAGCAACGAACCCCACTGAGGAGGCCATGGTTTCCGCTGCCGCCAGCGCTAGTTGGCCGGATGGAGGCGAAGCTGCCGACGCGGCAGCTGATGGTGATTGCTGTGATGAAGGAGGAGAGGAAGAACCACTAGAAGATGATGACGAAAAAGATGTCGACTAATATGTGATTTGGCTCAATTGCGAGTGACAACCTTTTGTCCAAAAGGTAGTTTCCCTATTTGTTGAAAAGAGAACTGCTTGTAGAAAAAACAACATCCCAGGTGACTGGTGCAGCGGGCACTGGATGCGGGCCTGCGAGTTTTGCTGAGAAAACCACGACGCGGTCCAAATATGCGCAAACAAGTTGTGATACATTTAAGATGGATCGACTTAAAATGCAAATAATAGTTCAATTTGACGTTTGGTGGACTGTTGTGCATTGTAAGCGACCGCGACCACGCATTGAAGCACTTTGCGTGAAAAAAACTCCCAGCGGTGTTCTGTCATGTTCCCAAACCAGTGCCCCCAAACAAGGACCGTGACACACAAACATACATAGTATGACAAGTTTCGATCACAAATAGTAGTAAGCAATTTGTGATGGCCAACAACAGGATACCATAATTCAAAGACCAGGACTTGGACTGCTGATTTCGCTGTCGATATTTTTGAACGCATTCAGTGATGTTTGCGGGCATTCGTTCGGTCATGTCCGACACATCCAGAAAAAACAATATTGTTTTCTGAACAATCCGGCTAGCCCTTGACAAAAGAATAGAGTCACAGCATGAAGGGCAGTTCAAAAGGCAGGTAGTACGTGGAGTTGATCAGACTACATATCAAACAGACTACTTCTAAAGACAAGTGCTGCTAGCTTAGCGGCTGCTAACGTGGACTTGGTCAGATTCCATATCAGTCGTGGCATAACCCTCTTCGTTTGCGTATGACAGGTGTTGATCAGACTCCATATCAGTCGTGCATACACGGCACAAGACCGCCAACCATCATACAAAGCCCATAGGGCGACACCAACATTGAGGTGCGAGGCTGTGGCCTCAGATGATTTCTGTGACCCCAATTAGCCGGCACAAGCCTTCTTTGCGCGTGTGGGCCATCTGCACACTCAAAAGGGTTTGGGCGCGCTGTTGTTTGTGGAAGCGCTTTTGTTGCGAAACGCCTTGCCAAGGCTGCGCGATGTGAATCTTGATGTGGATTTTAGTGGAGCTGGCTGCGCCTCGTGCGATTTAAAGCGCTGATTCTGTAGCAGGCGCGCGACTTTACTGCTACAACCGCTATTAGTAGTACTATACTACCACTTGTACTACTACCACTAGTACTAGTACTAGTACTAGTACTAGTACTAGTTCTACTACTACTACTACTACCACTACTTCTGCTACTGCTACTACTACTACTGCTTCTGCTACTGCTACTCCTACTGCTACTGCTACTGGTACTATTTCTACTACCACCACCACCACCAGTACTACTGCCTTTACTACTACCACTATACTACAACTATTACGACGATTACTACGACTACGACTGCGACTACTATACCACTATACTGCTCCTACGACGACGACTAATGCTACACATTTTTGCGCTCTCATATTTGTGCTCCAATACCGTGTGTGCTCTTTTGGGTGTGCGTTTGTATGTGTGCTCTCATTTTTGCGCTCTCGTGTATGTGCTTCCATTTGCTCCCACAAGTGCTCTCTCACATTGGTGCTGCTACGCTCTTGCATCTGACCTCTTATACGCGCGCTCATAAATGTCCTCGCGCACACGTCGATGTTGAGGACAATTTGTTCTGCGTGTTGGATTTGCTGGGTGTGCGACGCGCTTGGCCGGCGCATGGATGGTAAGACCGCAAGAGGGGCCATCGTGGCTTTTGGTTTAGTTGCGTTCAGTTTCTTGCAGGCCCCGTTGCTGCAATCAACTTTCATCACATCAGTTTGTTTCCTCTCAAACGTGTTTGTTTCGCCCACTTTCGGTTGCTCCCGTCGAGCAGGTGGGCGCGCAGCTCCTGCTGAGTTACTTAAATGGGGTGACTCAGTATGTCGCAGGAGATCAAACTGACGACACCACCTCCTACGATGGGTTGAAACTCGTCACTGCATGCGATGGTGCAACTGTGCTTAGGGGTTTCAGTTTCGGTCAAGATGACAATGGAGTCATCAAATTGGGAATGTCCAAGAACTGCACACCTGCGGCCAGCATCCGCTCCACCGACGCAGAGCTCACTCTGAAGCTCAAACTGGCGATTAGAAATTGGGAGTATGGTCAGTGTATTCTCTGGGCCGAGTGCAGTTCTGCAAGTGGAGATGCAACTACCTCCGACAAGTGCCTCTCCTCCGTCGGCCCGTGTCAAGGTTCGAGCCAAGAATTGTTTGCGAAAACTGATGCTGATGTAAGTTCAGGGACATTCACTCTTTTTGCTGAAGACCTTGATGGGGAGCACACAGTTAAAGCGTATTACACAACTAATCTCTTGAAAACGACCTTCTATCACGCAACAGATACTGTTGCGAATCAGTTCTACGGCTTCCAAGAAGACGATGACGACAACGGACAGAAAATCTACATCAAGCAAAAAGGTGAGTTTTCCTTAGACTTTAGCCGGTATGGCACGACCAACTCTAATCAGGACGACCCAGATGCCGCTTACCAATGGACTTTTGATGAGCTGCCGGGCTTGTCGGAGTTGCACCTTCATTGCGGGGACCAACAAGTCCTTCAGGACCTGCAAAAGATTGAAGAGAATGGTGAACACGTCTTCAAATGGAAGTGCGCCACAGTGGCAGGTTTGGGTTCGTGCTGGGAGGAAGTGTCCTTGGAAGTGCCGTTGAGTGATGTGGCTTCACTCAAGTTCGTTTTGGTGGATTGCGGTGAGCGGAACGCCCTCCGCGCTTTGGAGTTTGAGCCGAACATTGCCACTGCATCTCTGCGGTTGAAGGGCACCTGCTGCAGCTTGGCCATGCTCCCAGTGGCTTTGAACCCCACCGAGGAGTTTTCAGACTTTTCAGAAAACAGTGGGTTCTCTTTGCAGCAAGCTGAAGGCATGTATTGTCCAACAGGTTTGGACGATTCCGGCCGGCCAAGCTTCAAACAAACTTTCAGCTTCAAGCCGGATGCAACTGCCACGGGCACTCTCCTCTACAACCGAGCTGAAGGAAAGTGGGAGGTGACGGAGTCGACCAACTCCTGGGCGGTGGAAGCAGATGTGGTGCACCCCTTGGACCTCGGAGACACAGAACTTGTGTCAAGTGGGAGCCAGGAGTCGCTCCATGTGATGCCCATGTTGGACTTCAATTCCATTTTCACTGGCAAAGGCGTTGAGGCTTTGGCCACACCAGAGACCTCTTCTGCTGTGACCAAGTGGAAAACTCCACCGACACTTCTCACCTTCGCCGCCGACGACCCCGACTACGTCCCAGAGTGCCAAGACAAGTTCCACCCCGGTGACGCCAACTTCAAGCGAGACGAGATGAACGACAACGCGGAAGGTCTCTGGTCAGATGACCCGCAGAACCCCGCTGAGAACCCCTGTGCGTACATCTACAGCACAGAGAGTTACGAAACAGGACAGAGCCTCCAGAATGTTAAGCTCGGCGCAGGCATGTCGTGGGAACCAAGAGACAAAGTCCGTTCGGACCCTGACTATGGAAACGATGGCTCAAGTGGCACGGCAGGACGAGGCTTGACCTATCGGACCGTGAAAGAATGCTCCGATCGGGAGATTTCCAGAGAATACGACTTGGGCGACATTCAGAATTTCAGGTCCCTAGCCGAATCCGGAACACAGGCGACATTGTCGTTTGCATCACAACTCAATGATGTGTGGCGTGCATTTGCCAAATCAAACGCTGGCCTCCAATTTCTACAAGCCTTCATCACCTATGCTTTGAACACAGCTTCTACGGCCACAACCCATGGTTTTCTTTGCGGAACCATTTCTTGAGAAAGGCCAACAACCTTGCCAGCACAAATGATTGCGCCCCTTTGCAGCATGGCCTAGCGCGTATGTTTTGCGATTTGCACTGCATCAGGGATGCTGTCAAGAAAGGTGACGCAGCTATCCTCACAGGGCTGGAGAGTGTTGCAGAGACCATTTCGAACAACACGCGGAAGCTGTTTGAGTTCTATTTGGGCCAAGACCAAGGGGGCAGCGACAATCCTAACCTCATTGTGCAAGGCATGACTCGGAGTCTAGATGAGATGAAGCAGATGGTTCAATCGGCGCAGATGCATCCCTTAGAAGCAACAGCAACCACCCGAACCATCAACACCTTTCTTGCTCACGCTCGCAGCACTGGGAATTCAGACTTGAATGCTTCAAATCTCTCGTCCCATCTAGGTCACATGTCCAGCAGGGTGCAGAAACTTCGTGCACTTGTGAGCGAGACCACATCGCGCAAGCTGACTTCATCTCAGTATACGGCGGTGAATGTGGCTGAATACGTGAAGTCTATGACTGAAGTCATGAGGTCCAAAGCACACACACTTGGGGTCTTTCATCACAGAGCCGTGAAAAGCAAGGAGAAGCATCATTGGTTGCACAAACATGCAGCTGAGAAAAGCGCAGAGGATATCTTAGCAGAGGCCCAGGAGGATTCCATCATGCTTTCCCTTAGCAGCATCGACAAGACATGGTGGCAATTGAGGGCAACATTTGATCTTTATTTTGCTGACACGGAGGATTACTTGGGGGCATTCAAAAATGCTCTTGTGGCTTTGGACGGCTACACTGAAAGGCAGGAGTTGTTTTGCGTGGCTTTCGCCCTACATAATTGTTGCGCAAGCAATCTCATCCTTAGGCCACTGTGTTGATGGTTGGTTGTGCTCCACACTTACTCGGCGTTTTTACTGTAAATAGCATGTACACTAGCTTGATTCGACCCGAACATTTGGCTCAAGAAAAAGGTGTATGTTTCAGGCTGTTACCTTTTTTGAAATAGGTTATCAGCCGTAGGACTCTTTTGTATTTTCACGCTGGTGTACTGGACTGTACATGTCTGACTTATCCCGTGTTTGGCTCAAGAAGAGGAGCGCTCTGCTTGTTGGTTGCTTTAGGCTGTTGACCTGTAAATTCATGTTTTCCCTTGTCCCTCGCGTTGTCCCCATGGCAACACATGGGACCCGGTCGCGATAGACATTGCGTCTGGCCGCCTTTTGCAAATCATCTTCTCACGTTTGTCTTTGTCACGGTAAGCGCGCGTTGAGATCCAATCCAACTTGTCACCTCCTCCAGGGAAATGTTCCAGCTTCGCCTCGGTCCACTCCGAAGTTCGATTCCCAATCCATGAAGGTGATTGCAAAGAGACCTGCAATACAAAAATGCAACTGCGGGACATGGGAGCTCACTACGGATTCAATCCTTCTTCAGCTCAGCGACCGGGTTTTGTCACCACTTCACTTTCGATTCTGCCTCTGCCTGCAAAGAATGTGCCTCTGCCTGCAAGGTGGTTGATGAAAACCACAGCGGCAACGCGTGGAAGATATACGCGTCAGGGTCTTAAGGAGTTTGCATTGATTGCAATCGGTGTTTGTAAACCATTGGGTGTCTTGAAGGCTGCGCCCGAAAGTGCGCGCCGCCAGGAGTGTCACACATGAGAACTCTTTCAAGAGAGCGTCCCGCAACAGTTGTCACCCAAGAGTGCACTGCAAGAGTGCACCAAAAGAGGGCGCGAGTTACTGCGCATGTCTGTGCAAATGCACCACAGTCACATGGTGTTTTTGGACTGGCGCGTGTCCTGTCACATTGACCTCACCACAATCAGCGCAATGTGTTCTACACTTGTGGAATGCCTGAGCGGCGATTTTCCTTGTTCTTCTCCTTGCGACGCTCGGCACTCGCTTCGGCGCGTTCATCCTTACAGGTCTCGTCAATGGCACTGATGACCTTGGGCAGAAACGTCTTCATCTCACGGAAGTCGGGATGAGGGGGGCGCGTTAATTGCAACAGTAAGCGGGTTATTTCCAGACAGCGGTGTCATTCCGAACAGTAAGGCGCATTTTTTGCGACGGTTGCGTTTTTTGAGTCGATAGAGCGCTGTTTTGGCAACGGCTGCGTTTTCTAGACACTGGTAACAGCCACGTGTTTGTGGTTGCGGTTGTGTGTTTGTGGTTGTGTTTGTGGTCGTGTTTATGGTTGTGCGTTTGCGGTTGCGTGTTTGTGGTTGCGTGTTTGTGATTGCCTTGCTGGCTGTGGTTGCGCGTTTGTGATTGTGATGGTGGTTGTGTTTGTGGTTGTGTGGTTGTGTTTGTGTGTTTGTGGTTGTTTTTATGTCATGTTCCACGTACACTATGTACATATACCTCTCAACTCCGACGTTATGGCTCAAGTGAAAAAGGTGTGCACTGTTGGTTGATTTCCTATAAACATAGGTTATCAGCCGTATAGCCTTAGGCCCACTGTATAGCTTCTCCGTCATTCGCAGCCATGGACTTAAGCCTGGATACGGCAGCCCTCGCGAGGCTGGCTGCGCCGTACGGCAGTACGGATGGGCGGGAGAGCGCGGGTGGAAACCCCGCCACTTTCCATTTGCCACTGATGGACCCGGGCGTCTCGTCTACACCAGACGGAGGGTCTGCCATGTCAGCTGACGGATGGGGAGCGGGCGGGAACGCCGCGCCGGTTTTTAATCAGGCCAATTTTTCATTCGTGCAAACACATCCTGCAATTGTGGCGGAAATGATGCGCCAGGCATCTCAGAACCAGCAACTCGAGGGGCAGCGAGCAGAATTAATGTTCGCGGCACAGAAGCTCCGCGGTGAGGCTGATGAAGCATTCTCTGAAAACGAGGAGATGAAGAACCAGGCGCGAACATTTATCAACGCAGCTGAAGCTGGGTATCAAACGCTACAAGAACAAGCTCAGAATCAGTTCATGGAAATGGCCATGAACCATCGACAACAGATCGCTGGACTTGAAATGATGCAGGGTCAAAAAGTCTCATTCCTTGAAATGAATTTGGCGCAACAACAACAAGCGTCTATGGATTTGCAAAGGCGGTTATCTGAAACGGAATCTATCCAGGCACAACTCCTGAAGGAACTTCAAGAAATGAAGGGACGAAAGGACAACGTGCCAGGCGTTTCGGAAGGAGCTGCCGAACTTCGTGAGTCCATACCGGTACATGAAGCACCACTGACAGGTTTGTCCAACGCCGATGATGTCCGATCTTTCAAGACTGCTGATTTGTTCGGTACTCCATCCATGAGGTCTCAACCCGGAAGCGTATTTTCCCCAAACGCTACAGTTTTCCAGCCGGTGAGTCCATGGAATGATGGATATGGTTCATTAGCAGCCAATGCATTGTCAGGTCACATTGGCAGGGGCGGACCAGGGAACGGTGGTGGTGGACCGCTGGATGGGGGAGGAGACAACCCTGGTGGAGGTCGTTCGTCGGGTGACCCAACCAATCCTCACCTTCCAGGCATTCCGCTTCTCAAGATTCCTAAGTCGGGGGGCGGACCACCTGGGCCTCCGGGGGGTGATAGCGATCTGGACGGAGATGGTGATTTTGAGGATGATGATGACGATGAACTGACAGACAAAGCTCTTATGAAGAAGCTCAAACAGGTTTTGGGGGAAGGAGTAGTACCACGAAGGAAGCAGACCACATCAAGATACCTTCTTTTCCGCAACCGGAGAACTATCGCAATTGGAAGATCAGGGTGAGGGATGCGGTGAGGGCCGCATCTTCCAAGCCCGACAAGGCGTTCTCATGTGTAAATAAAGTATGGCAAGTATGGATTGAAGGTCAAACCATTGAAGGTCTTGCCAGTCCTGATGGGTTCACTACCCTCGATGCCAAGCTTCTCGCTGCACTGTCGTCCATCGCTACAGGTGAATTCGCACGCAAGGTTGACACATTCAAGGAGAAAGAATCTCAGAAAGATCGCCCGGTCAGGGGAAGACAGGTTTTGCTCATGATGCATGAATATTTCAGCACAAACATCAAGCATGGAGCAACCTATTCCCTCAGTGATCTGTTCAATGTGAAGATGAAGGGCGACAATCTCAAGACGTTTTTGTCAAACTGGGATTCTGTTACCACAGGTGTTACTCATTTGCCTGAGACTACTGTCCTGGAAACATTGTTCTACCAACAAGTGAAGAACCACAGGGCAATCGCCCATGACATTGAGGAGTACCACCGGGCCGAAGAGGGAAGTTCAAAGCACTGCTATCAGTTCCTGTATGATGCTGTTCGTAGACATCTCATGAGGGAAAGGCTAGAGGACAATCGGGGACGGATTGCCGCTAGTGTTGGGGGTGCCAAGACGTCCGCTCCTGCTGCCGACGCACGCACGCCATTCATCCCCAGGGGTTTCTGTGTCCAGTGGAATAAAGGGGGCTGTAGCAAAGAAAACTGTCCATTCAAGCATGAGGTTCCCAAGAAACGTGAGAAGAGCGCAACCAAGAGTCCTAGGGGGCGCTCACAGTCAAGAGGGAGAGAGAAAAGGGACACTTCTAAGATTCCATGCAAGTTTTGGAAGGCCGGACGCTGCAAGCGGGGGGACAAGTGTGAATTCTCCCATGAAGGTCAACAGCGACCTAGGAAGGCCACTCCTGCCAGATCGCCTTCACGGGACTCGCAGAGAAGCGACAAGAGCAAAAAGGACAAGCGCCGAAAGAAGAAGGGAGACCGGTCTCAGTCGAGGGGCTCCAGTGGTTCACGCAAGTCCGGAGGCTCTAAATCGTCCAAGGGTTCTCGTGGTTCAAAGGGCAGCGCAGGCAAAGCCACCCCGGCTGCAGTTTGTCTGGTTGCGTCCATGCTCGCATCAGTCGTCGATGGATTTTCGTTGAGCACCCCGGCATCCATGATGGATCAAGTCGGAATCACTGTCAATGAAAGCCAGGCGGCCTGGGAAGGCGAGCCACATATTGCATGTCCAGGTGTGTCGTTCAACCTCAAACCTGACATCACGAAGATTCATGCATGGGGCAGATTGAATCCGTTCGTTTCTGAACCATCCAAACCGAAGAAGACTTTCCCAGTGAGCTACCAGACCAAGCACAACAAACAAGCTGTAGAAGATTCGATATTGTCAGCGCGCATGCTTCAGGGAGCAGTTTCCGCTTGGCTCAAAGGGACCAAGGCGGCATGTAGGTACATGTGCGATTCCGACTTAGGTTGTGATTCGTGCATTCCGGCCGACATCGTTGCTTTGCCTGCCTCCTCACCCAGGGAGGTCAAGTACTTCCATCACTCGCATGAGGACTGGATCGCCGATACCGGAAGCGCCCAGGGCCTGTTGACAAGACATGACATCCCTGATGAGTTTCAATTCCGCTCGGACCGACCAATTGCCATAATAACAGCTAATGGTCACAGTTCGTCCAATCTTCAGGCAAAGGTGTATAATGACACATTGAGTTGCAGGTTTGAACCATACCTCCTCGAGTCTACACCACCCGTGATGTCCGTCGGCGTGAGATGTGTTGATCAAGGATATGATTTTATTTGGAGATCCGGTAAATCACCTTATTTCAGGAAACCGGATGGAGAAAAGATTGAGCTTGTTGTCAGGGATTACGTCCCCTATATTCCTGCAACAGCCAAGTCTAATGCCAATCCATGCACTCCCGCCTCGATCGGCCGACCGCGCTCGACTCCATCATCTACTTTGGCTACAACCTCTCTTCATCCCACAGCTCCTGGAGGTGGTACAGCAGTTCCTGCTGAACCAGCATCGGCCTCGGGTGATGACGGGATGAATGTGTTGAGAGAAAGCCCAGAGAAGG